ATCAAACACCAACCCAAACAAAAACACTCAAGCACACTTTTTTCCCTGATGCACAAGCCATGATATCACTTGCCTCCTGAATAAAACATGCGTCCCATTTAGATTCACTTGGCTTCATCTTGGGGAGAGAGAGAGAGATCTGGCCTGATGGGACGTAGAAAAGAAGCAACGTCTAGAAATAGTGTTGGCACAAAGAATCGACTTATTCGCGGATAATTATGTCAATTATACAACTCTGAAATCCTGCTTCCTCTTTACCTCAATAGCTTGCGATGAAGATGTCTGGTTGCATTCGAAAATCTCCACTTGAGAATGTAAGTAAAACCAGAAACCAGCAGCTCAGAGCACCTGCCATGATGGTACTCCTCTCAATATGGTAATTAAGGAGACAAAAAGTAGAAGATTTGACAAGTACAAGATGTCGAGAATACTTCTCAGTCACATATGCTGGAGCATATATAGAAGAGACGCCATAAATGCGAGCCCACACATCCTGGCTGCACTTCCCCAGACGTTTCCCTCTCTAAACTTTAGTGAAGAGAAAAGCAACTTTGATATCAGCCGTGTTTGTATCGGATGAGTGGGCTACCATAATTTTCCTCGCCGGATCAATAATATTAATTTAAAAAAATGAGCTAGGCTATGTTTGGACAACCAGAAACCCGATAAGCACGGCTGCACCTGTGTTTCCGCACACAGATCCCCGGCTCTGCGCTTGTCGCTTTCCTTTATCCACCCGGAAGGTTTTCTGTGTGTGACACATATTGACGTTTTCCATGCATACTGTCACCATGATAGATTTTCAGTCCTTTGCCATAACTCCCCGCAGTCCTGAGCCTCACTGTTTCCATCAGTCCGTCTCTCTTTTCAGCCTTCTTTCTTTCTCCTACACACACAAATTGATCCAACACGTGCAGGAGTACCAAGCATCTACGCTAGTCAATCAATGCGTCCTATCGTTAAATAACAAAGTGTAGCAAGTATGACTATTCCCACTCAGCATGAATAATTAAAGACGGCTACTCTCATGGACACAGGCTCTATATTTTCTTTTCTTATACTTCATTCGCACTAGAATCGGCCTCTGGGCACAGCATGATTTTTAAACACCGATCAACAAACCAAATGCACTGCGGGCTCCACAATAAATATCTGGTTTGATGTAAATCCTTAATTAGCAGACACTATACACTTCTGGCTTCCAGCTAGCCTATATTTCAAAAATGTAGTTAAGATTTTTTTTTATGGTGCTTTCATAAAGGCACAACATAATCAATGAACAGGGAGAGTAAATTCTATTCGAACCAGTGCGTCTGGATAAATTTAAAGATGTTTATTAAAAGGCCGCTCAGTGAAGAGAAACAGTGCTATGCAATAATGTAAGGATGTAACCACATATTCAGGATTGAGGGGGACCCAATGTAATTATATATTTTATTAAAACATTATATTATAATATAGTATGTGTGTGTGTCGTGCAAGGGACCTCATCCTAAAATTTAAAAGGCATAGTTTCTTGGATAAAGACCCAATAAATGTCTAAATATTATTATTTTTTAAACGTTTCTATTAAGTTATTACATTATTTTCTACTCACAGCACTGTACTGTAATGTACACTGTACTAATGTATTATTTATGTACTCATTTATTTTATTTTAATCAGATGTTTTCTTCCATATATTTATTCAAATCAAATTATTTATTTATCTTTATTTTTATGAATAATTTAATTTGTTTAGGGTAAAATAGGGACAAGGTGGATTTACTTTATATTGTAGCATATTTAGATATAAGTTTAGCATGCAAGATGATGATGCATCAGCCAATTATTATAGGAAATAAATAGAACAATTTTAATTCAGTTGTAGCACAAAATGTAACTTTTTAAAAAAGGGGTAAGAAGCCCCCTATAACTTTTATAGACTGTATGCCTTAAAGGATTTTATGACAGTAGCCTATAGGTAGCCTGTAGGGTATATATAGCCTAGCTATGTTATTTTGACAGTTTAGTTCAATAACTGAATAAATGATGACAAAGCAGAATCTGAAAGGTAAAACTATTCAATGACTTTTATACACGCATATTTAATTGCCCAGATTTTAACTGAAGATATGTGATTAGCAACACTGTGAATGCAAATCTGTCTGTCTGTCCATCCATCTATGAACTAACAAACAACACTGAGGTTGAGGTAAATACTGAGGAAGACCGTGTCTGCGTAGATTACAGCCCTGCCGTGACGACATGTATTGTTGAAGATTATCTCTGAGGAAACTAACTAGTCAAATCCACCCTCTTCAATTGCTGTCTTTGAGAACTTTTTGAATGTGTCTCATTGTTCTTTGTCATTTCCTTTTCTCGTTTCATTTGAAAAGACTCAGATGAAGAGATGCTCGCAGGGAAATGACGAATTGTTGCAGCCCTCGAGAGCACAGAAATTAGCGCGGCTGAATGTAAATTACTGCCATTGTAAATGATGACAGAGGCGAGGCGACACCCAGATGATATTTTTCTGCTTTTCTCACTTCTGCTGTTGAGCTACAATAATAGAATCAGTGGTATTGTTTCATCTGTACTTAGCACCACAGCTTCAGAGGGTAAGACAGCGAGTCTGTTCAGCGGTTCAGTGATAGCAAGTAGCCTAGTTGTTTATTTAGTTCAATCCATCTCAGAGCGCCTAATATGCGTTGCATCTCTTTTTTTTTCTTTTTTCAAAATCTTTTGAATGAAACCATTCAACCATGGTGCACTTCAACTCAGTGTAATTCTAAAGGGAAACTAGAGAATGAAGAGACAGTATTAAAGAGTTTACAGTAGGATTGAGTGTCTCTTCCAAACGAAATGCAACTTTCCTTGAAGACTTTAGTTATAAGATTCTAGTCTAGTGTAGCAGCGCCACCTGGTGACATATTCCCATGACGTTTTACCTATATTAAACACAAAATGATACAAGTCTGTACTGGTCCCTTATTTCATGCAGTTCAGATAACTTAGAATATTGCATGTTAGATTTTACTATTGTGCCTTCGCATTTTTAAGAGTAGGGTAGACTGAGTACAGTAGAGACACTTTCTGCTTTTTTCATCACTACACAAAAACTAGATGCTGAAATGAAGTGATTTTTCACATTTCTTTTGCTTATGTACTAAAATTTCATAAACTAATAATAGCCATAAGTAGTTTTTTATTTTCCACAATTAGCTCATAAACATAAGGTGCATTTTTGTCTCAACTGTACCCATATAGGGTACAGCTGAAACAGTACCATGGTACAGTTAAGAAACCCATTCCTTTTTATACTGTACAAACTGTATTTTCTATCACCCTACACCAACCCCTTACAGAAAACTACTGGCAAGTTCCAAGTTTTTTTTAATGGAACGGGGACACAGGAAGTGTCCTCATAAACCATGTTTACGTTGTAGTACCCACGTCATTATACACATTTGTGTCCTCATAAACCATATATAGCCTACCAGTACACACACATACAGGTGTCAAAGAGAATGCTAATACGCATGTGTGGAGCAAAAATCACGGCTCAGGGTTCCTTTGCACGCAAGTTATTTAAGGTGTTTCAACTGTACACACGTCTCAAATGTACTCAGTCTACCCTACACTAGCATATAGTTGACCTTAAAGGGATAGTTCACCCAAAATTTGTCTGTGCATGTTTTTTTTTACTCCCATAGATTTTGCTACCATTGCCATGCATTATACGACTGATAGACTCCAACGGTTTGAGTTACAAATCTCAGTTTGTGTTCTACTGAAGAAACAAAGTCACCTACATCTTGGATGCCCCGGGGGTAAGCAGATAAACATCAAATTTTCATTTTTGGGTGAACTATCCCTTTAATAGACATGGACCCCATTAGAAAGAAAGTGTGAAGACATCAGAAATAGTGCATACTTTATTAATATATTTTGATATTACATACAGAACATAGTGAGATTTATTATTTAAAAGCTGCCAACAAGCATATTAATACATATTTTGCCAAAATGCGTCATTCAGTGAATGCAGACCTTGATGAATTCATAAAGTAGTTTTGCAATGGCTTTTAAAAATTACTGTTAATTAAAATGAAATGTCTGACTGTAATAATCTTGCTTTAAAAAACAAATTAGCAAATAGCTAAATGCATAATCAAACAAAATATAATAATGTGAATTAATCCAAGTAGAAATGTAGCGATGTTAAGTGTCTCCTTTTAAAATATCTTTCATACTTAAAAACATTATGAAATCAAACACTGTCAAATCATGTTTAAGTTCGGTCAATTGTTACAAAAAATCATAAGTAATTACTGTCAATGTAGATAATACACAAGGCACAAGTTCATTATATCCGAAGAGTATAAAAGGCATTTTTCTCCAGAAAAATAAGGCAGGCATGTCATAAAACTAAAGTTTAAAACAAAATGAAAAAGACAAGGATGTTATGACTCAAGACAGTCAACATAGTTCATAAACCTCTCAGAAGAAATACAAGTGGTCTAATTTATTGCATATTTCGAGAACACAGCGAGGGCTTTAATAAAGCAAGATAATTTAAGCTGGGGAGGAGATTACACAGCCTCAGCACTTTCATCTGAGCAAAAAGTTTGGTTTAGAGCTTGTGTTGCTCCAGGCTCATTACATCATGCATTAGCTTCTGATCCCGTCTGACAGAAAAATATAAGGCTTGAGCATACATTAAAAATCAAATACAACTCTCAGATCAATACATCAAAACTGGGCCCACAGTCAGGACACAGAAAGGGGTTCAGCCTTGAGAAAAAGCTCTGTGGCATTGCATATGAGGCAACAGAAGTGACAAACGTGCTGAATAATCACTCTGAACAGTGAGAATATAACTAGTATTATCTTTATAAACATGCAAGTACATATCAATAAACTATATAAAAGTATTTGTTTGGTTTTGGTTGCAGAGTGTTAAGACACAAGAACATCTGTTGGTGCGAGACCAAAGAAAATCTGCTGGCTACTTTCTGCCATGGAAAAACAAAGCTCAAGCACGTAAGACACACTTCTACGACTAATCCGAGATCATTTGCGGTCCAGATTTAGTTTGGTCTCTGTTCGTACTTTAAGCACCATAGATGTAACAATTGACCATCCTTTGACTCCCCCTGTGGGCGAGGAGATCTACTTGCGGCCTACGGTCTCCGCCAGCTTCTTGAGTCTCTTCTTCAGCTCCAGAGGAAACTTCTCGTAACATTTCTTACACACCGGCTTCATGTCAAATTCCACAAACTTGTTCCTAAAACACAAATTTTGCTTTTAGGAGTGTGATTTTTAACACATTCAGGCCAGAAACATAAGTCTACATGTATGCGTTCCATTCCAGCTAAAACTATCAAAAATAATTTTTGATAATAAAATAAAGCCAAAATAAAATAAATATTGTTAAAATTAGAAACATTAGAAACATTGCTCTGAAAGCTAACTGTAATTAAATAAATTTAAGTTGAAGTACTAAAATTACTAAAACTAAAATAAAGCTAAATATAAATATTAAAAAGAAAACAATTGACAAAAGCACAAAATAAAATTACTAAAACTAAAATGATCACTGAAAATATTAAAAGCCAGTTTAAAATATTAAATACTATAATAAAAAAACTATAATAAATAATATAATAAAATATTTTATTAATACTTAAGCAGTGTCGTGCAATAATTAGGTCTATGAGTGACCAAAAAAATGGGTGAAAAAACATAAATAAAATATTAAAAATATGATAATGCTGAACTGACAAATGAATACTGGAAAATAGAGATGCATCTATATTACAATTCTTGCTGATAACAGTAACCATATTATTATTTTGATGTTATGGCTGATTTTAATTTTAATTACATTTTCACATTTTAATAACTAAATTGAACATTTAAGACAGACAAATTCGCTACAATTGAAGTTAAGCATCACACCAATCTAAAAAATTCTATTCATTTTGCACACTATTATTAAATTACTAGTGTTTTCTAAGAGCAAGGCCCAATCCCATTTTTACCCCTTACCCCTCAGTTTTGCGCATTCACATGAAGGGGTGTCTCGATTTTGGTTGGAGGGGTAGAGGGAATGGCCAGATAGCCCTTCAAACGAAGATTTTTCAGGACCACACTTCAAACGAAGGGGTATGAGAATTACCTCAGCAAAACCGGCTACAGCGGCAACATGGCTGCCCGAGCGAACAAAAAGCATTTTTTGCACTAATAAAGATTTGAATGAAAAGTAATCATTAGTTTTATTTTACAATTGTGTATTCATATTTACTGTCATGTTATTTAAAGAAATGTTTGCAAAAAAAATAAAATAATAATTGCTAATATTAAATCATTACTGACTGCACGATAGTGCCACAACATATTTTCATATCTGATCAGGGCGATAACCACCATAGACATTGAGGTGAGCTAGTCCCCCCAATAATTAGAAATCGCTAAACCTTTTTCTCAAATATGGCCAATTCGAGAGAGAGAGATGAACGTTGTGTGTATGTGCGTCTCTGTGTCTCTCTTTACAATGAGTGAGTTTACTTCAAAAACTGCGATTTTATCCTCTTGTTGCTGGAAAATATAATGTAGCGATTCAGTATTTAAACAATGTTATTAATACAAGTCGCGGGGCAGCGTTGACTAGTTTCTTTGCTCCTGAATGTGTGAGCTGCGTGATCTCCGATATGTATGTGTGTGTGTGTAAGCAGCGCATTAATATAGAACGGTAAGGCTCTAATGCACACCAGTATAGGTGTGTGTATTGTAGAAGCTAGACGACGTGTAACGGTATAGTAGTGGTGTATCATTTCTCAGGGGAATATTTTTACGCCTTCTCCTTGACACTCTGTTTAAAGGGGGAAGGGGAAGGGGTAGGCGTAGGGGTATAAAATAGAATTGGGATTGGGCCTAAGTGAGTATTAGATGATGGTAAATGTACATTTACCCTCTAAAATGGGGGGGGGACTGATGGTAAAAAAAAAAAAAAACAGGAAAAGTAAGCATGCACAATTAAATATCCAATAATGATTAATGATAAAAAAAAATACAGGGAAAAGTTGCTGAAAAATACATAAAAAAAATAAATAAATAAATGGTGAGGCTGCAGACACTAACCAATGATAATGAACGAGTGAAGCAGATGAGCAAGAAGAAGGAAAAGGAGAGAAAAGAGTTACAGACAGACGGCGATGACTTTCTTTCGCCGTTCGCGAGAGTCACGTTCACGTTTCGCCAAACGGCTCTTCAGCTCTTCCGGCAGGCGTTCGTAACAGTGTTTACACACCGCCTTCAGGTCCACCTCCACAAACCTGTCCCTGCAGGGCCACCGTCAGGGACAATGAGGGAGGAAAGAGGAGAAACAAGCGAAAAGGAGGGGAAATTGGATGGAAGATTGGAAGAGGAATGGGTTTGAAGTGGGAAAGAGAAAGAGAAATGGAATGCGGTAGCATTTTAAGAGCTAAGGAGAATCGAATGGGACAGAAGTAGAGAATAAAAGAGTTAGCTGGAGAGAAAGGTTAGTAATGATCCAAAGAAGTAGGCTACATCACAGCAGCCGAGAGACCCAATTTAAAGGCACTTCTGCACAAATTTACACAAAACACAGCTACCGAACAGTCGCTTAGAGAAAAAGGAAAGAGGACAGATTGTGACATAGGATGAGTACGTGTGTGTAAAATCACTTACTTGAGGGTGAGCTTGGTGTTACAGGTCGAGCACGAGAAGCAATTCACACACCAAGCCTTATTCAGAGCCGACACCACTGAGAGAAAACACAAAAACAACTCAACAACTCACAACAGCAGCACCCTAGCCATAACAACAACTGCATATCAAAGCATTATTTTTTGTAATTATTACACATAGAAGCTTTAAAGTTGGGAACTAAATGTCAATATCATGTTCAAGTAAAGAGCAATTACCATCTCCTTCGATCACACGGTTGCAATGATAACAAACATCACCAAAGAGCTGCACAACAGACAGAACAGATGCTTTAGTCTCACAAGTTTCATTATCCACAACACAGCCTTTTCAGATCAAAAGAGGCTTTGAAAGAAGAGCCAGGCATGTGTTACCTGGTTGTAGTGAGTCTCGCAGTAAGCAAGTCCTTTTCTCTCGTAATGACGGTGTCCCAGGAAAGGCTTCTCGCACTTGGCACAGACAAAATGCTGTAGAGGCACACAAACACACACGCTGTGAGCATGCCATTCAAATATACACTACCATTCAAAAGTTTTGACTGATTTTGAAAGAAGTCTCTTATGCTCAAAGCTGCATTTATTTGAGTACAGTAAGACAGTAGTATTGTAAAATATTATTACAGTTTAAAATAAGTGATTTCCACTGCAATATATTTTAGAATATAATTTATTCCTGTGATGGCAAAGCTGAATTTTTAGCATCATTACTCCAGTCTTTAGTGTCACATGATCCTTCAGAAATCATTCTAATATGCTGATTTGCTCAAGAAATACTTCTTATAATCATCAATGGTGAAAACAGTTGACTGCTTAATTTTTTTTGTGAAAATTGTGAGACTTTTGAACAAAGCATCCTCAAAAGAACAGCATTCATTTGAAAAATTATAAATGCCTTTACTGTCACTTTTGATCAGTTTAGTGTATTTTTAGTGATTACTATTACAATCATAATAGACTGTGGCAGGTCTATTGTACTGCAAGGCTTCATAAACAGAACTGATATCCCATGTCCAGATCTGCCTACATACACTTAAGACAAAGCCAATTGTGTTGGTTTTTAATTTCTTGCCAAGACAGAAATTCTGACCAATAAACATGCAGTTTTTTTGTATAACATCCCTAATTAAATATATTTTCAGAAAAGTTATGGTGCACACTGTACTAGAACTGTCACTATGTTGAACATAATTTTAAAAATCTAAATAAAATACACAGCACCTCAACATGCCACTGTTTGCCCATGGCGTTGACCACACGGCCCTCAATAGGACGCCTGCAAGCTCCGCAGATCGGCACGCCCATCTTATCATGGCAGGGGAGGCAGTAGAGTTCCCCTTTCAGCTCGCGAGCGTCGGCGGTCAGCTCCTTACTGTAAAACACACAACCTCAAATTCACATCACTTTTAGTAAATGGACACAGCAGATGGAATCATTTAGTGTCGTACTGACCCGCAGTTACTGCAGTTGAAGTGGTCGGGATGGTAGGGGTCGTTTTTGAAAATGAGGGGTTGTTCCTCGATGATGGCGTGACACTTCTGACAGATGTACTTCCCGAGGCCCCGAGCTTTCTCGCGGTTATGACATGGACGGCAGAGATGGCTGGAAAAAGCAGAAATGCACACCAGCCAATCAGAATGCTCGAATGGTGATTTGGCTCCATATGCAAACAGTTGAGCTAAAGAACATCTCAAAAGGATGATTCTGGTTGGTAGGACTAATAACCTGTGTTTAAGAATCAGAATTGCTTAAGATCATTCATAAATGAAAGCTGATCATAGACCAATTGAACGCATTCAGCCTGTCAGTCCCATGTTCACGGTCACCCCTCATTGGCTGTAAACTCACCGGCCGGCATTCTTGACGAATCCAACATCGGCGAGCACGGCTTGGCAGATATCACAGCAGAAACAGTCAGGGTGCCAGCTGTTATTCATGGCCTTAATCACACGCCCAATTATAAACTCTCCTGTGGGAATAGGAGGGACACAATTCACAATTAGCATAGTCAATAACATCACCTGTTCATATGTTTGTGTGTGTGCGTCTCTTACCACACTGGTGACAACAGGGAGCAAACAACATCTGGAAATCATGCTCGCAGTATTTCCTTCCCTCAAACTATGGACAGAAGGGAGAAAAATCAAACATAACATCAGCTCCAATGGGAATACATCTCAAAGTCAATCAACTGCAGACAATTGCATCCTGCAGACACTACTGTAACTTCCAGAACTTTGAAGAAATGTCTACTTTTTTATAAATAAAAAAAATACATATATTTTTGAACTAATAGATATTAATATTATTTACAAATATGTATATTGTACAGTATATTTATAGATTTATATTATATTTCAGGTTTTTGCTACAAAAAAAACATTACACAACAAATCTAAGTGGACCTCAGGGTCTATAATTTACTAAAAAACAAAACAAACTAAATGTATGATATTACCCCTTAAACCGCTAGGCTTCAATATTAAATGCTACATGACAGGTTTAATGCAAGTACCTCATAAAAGAGCCCTTCAGGAAACTGCTGGAAACACTGTGCGCAGACAAAGCACTGTTCATGATACAACTCGCCGTTGCTGTTGACGATCTTCTCCGCTGGGGCAAATCCGCTTTTACACCGTTCACACGAGGCACTTGCTAGGGCATTGGCCATGTTGCTGTAAGAAACAGATCAATGTCAGGAGAAATGAACAGCAGTGGCCATGAGCCTATAGACCTAACACAGCATTAAGAGTCAGCCTCCTTCAGTAAGAATTTATTTTTGAATATTTACTTTTATTCAAGAATGCAATTAAATTATCAAAATGTACAGTAAAAAAGCTGCTCTTTTGAACTTAATAAATCATGAAAAAAAAAAATCACAGCTTCCACAAAAATATTAAGCAGCACAACTGTTTTAAATACTGAGAATAATAATGGTTTTTGAGCAGAAAATACGCATATTAGAATGATTTCTGAAGAATCATGTGAGACCGAAGACTGGAGTAATGATGCTGAAAATTCATCTTTGCATCACAGGAATAAATTATTTAAAATATATTCAAACAGAAAACCTTTTTTTGTAACAATATTTGACAATATTAGTGAATTTACAGTATTTTTTGTCAAATAAATGCAGCTTTGGCGAGTAAAGAGACTTTTTTGAAAAACATTTAAAAATCTTACCAACCCAAATTTTGAATGGAAGTATATATTACTATGTTTGACAGTTTAGGTGAATGTATGAATTAAAGCTGTCAAATAAAAAATAAAAATCGAATTTCGAATATTTGTTGAATTTAAAATAAAAATCCACATTCGAATGCAAAAACACTGCACTCGAATTTTAGGTGTGCGTCAGGCAGCCTTATCAGTGGAGCACAAGATGCGATGACAATGTAAGTGTCGTTGCATTTTAATGTTTTTGTAGTTGAAACCACTAGATGTGGCACTGCTGCATTGTTCATTCAAAATATTGCGGAGAAAGACAACATCAATGTGGAGAAGATCTTGTTTATGTCAAAACTGAAATCAACTGAAGCCGTTCACACAGAACGCATATTTTGCCCAGAGGGACATCTATCACAGCTTCGCTCGCATCTCACACAAGTGAGCCGCATAATATATATTTTATTATAGTGAAAAAACCTTTTTACAGAATGATATATTGGCCAGATAGATTCATTCGAGGATAATTGCCCGTTTTGCAATTACTGGCATTGGCTTAGCCAATAAACAGCACTGAGCCAATGTTTAAAGGGATAGTTCACCCAAAAATGTTATTCTGAATAGATAGTAGGGCTGCACGATAAATCGCATGCGATATTTAACGCGCATCTTATCAGTAAAGCTGCTTCTGTAATCAGCGGTAAATCTCCATCACGTGCGTGCTTTCACATTGAGCAGCATTAACTACACAGAGCCGTTGTTCACTGACGAGCTGCGCAAAACCACGTTTATATTCGTGCGATTTTTTGTGCAGCTCGTCAGTGAACAACGGCTCTGTGTAGTTAATGCTGCTCAATGTGAAAGCACGCACGTGATGGAGATTTACCGCTGATTACAGAACCGGCTTTCTGACAAGATGCGCATTAAATATCGCATGCGATTTATCGTGCAGCCCTAATAGATAGTGTATAAAAAACAATTTAATTTCTACAATTATGAATGTGTTTCACTGAATATTATTCAATTGAATTGATATCAGTATCATATTGTAATTTGCCACCCTGCTCCTGAAAGTGATTCAAGCTGATGTTTCTCTACTCAAAAATCCCACGTAGCCTGTCTGGCACTTTACAAGATATTAAGTTTCTCCATTTAAGAGTGACCGGGCAAGACTGCAACCAATGTTTACACAAACAGAATTAGTCTGCCGTGGCCTGTGGTTACACTGCCAGACGTGATCTCAAATGACACATGGCATTTCTCCTCTATGACATCATGATGTAGCTATTAGGGGATGGGCCGTCTTTACAACTTCCCCTCATTCCCTTCACCACGGAATTAATGACCCTTGTCACGGTGTTAATTCAGACTGATGATTCTAAGGCCGTGTGCCCTATATGGTGAAGTGAAGCTGAGCAGAGAAGATCTGCTTGTGTACTAACAAACTGTAGATATATAAATAGATCATTTGTGTGTTAAAGAGACGGAGACTGTTGTATGTCAGTTCAAGTGGGAGCTGTGCCATCTGTGTGTGTGTGTGTGTTTGTTGAAGGCTTGCTTATGTCTGTAACACACTCCCAGCTGGAAGAATATACAGTGGGGGTTTGAAAACCTAAACATACCATATAAAAAAAAAAATTTTCATTTTCAATTTGACTTTTTATTCCAAATGTAATTCAATTTTTTTATTAGAAAAATGCTATTAAAATTTTCACTAGTGTTCTTAGACTTTGGAACCCTGTTGCACAAACAAGTAAATATTTATCAGAAAACTTAATTGAATATTACACATAATATCATATGTACTACCACTCAAAAGTTTGGGGTCTATAAGTTTTTTTTGTTTGTTTTTTTTTTATTATTTTTTTTAAGTAGTCTCATATGCTTATCAAGGCATCATTTAATTTATGTAAAACAGTGATATTTTGAAAGATTACTGCAATTTTAAATAACTGCTTTCTATTTGAATATTTTAAAATGTCATTTATTCCTGTGACGGCAAAGCTGAATCAGTCTTCAGTGTCACGTGATCCTTCAGAAATCATTCTAATATGCTGATTTAGTGCTTAAGAAACATTTGTTATTATTATCAATGTTGAAAACAGTTATCCTGCTTCATATTTTTGTAGAAGCCATGATACTTTCTTTAGTATTCTTTAATGAAGAGGAATCAACAGAACAGCATTTAAACATTATAAATATCTTTACTATCACTTTTCATCGATTTAATTCATCCTTACAGAATAAAAGTATTACTTTAATCGCATCCAAAATAAAAGTTTTTGTTTACATAACATATGCATGTGTACTGTGTATATTTATTATGTATATATAAATACACACACATACAGTATATATTTTGAAAATATTTACATGCATATACATTTATATATTTATATTCTTATATTTTATATTATATATAAATATATTTAATATATAAACATAACATATTTTTCTTAAATATATACATGCATGTGTTTGTATTTATATATACATAATAAATACACACAGTATGCACATATATTATGTAAACAAAATTTTTTATTTTGGATGCAATTAATCGTTTGACAAAACTACTTTATTTACAAATAAATAAATTGTTACGGACCCAAAATGTTTCAGTGGTAGTGTATATTTTACTAACACTGTTTAGACATGATAATTGGGAGCTTAACATCTCAGGAAGCAGATTATATCCATGTTTCCCAAGATGATCTGACAGTCTGTGGGAGCATCCGGCTCAGGAATGTCTCCCAACAGCACAGACTACACAAAACAACTGAGAATCAATGTTTTCATATGGAAGAGGATCACAGCTTTCCAGAAACACTATGAAATAAAATATCACAAATCATACTAAATAAAATTAATAATAATGTATTTAATTTGCTTACAATGTATTATACAGGAAGTTAACTAACTTACAGTATGACAGGACTTATCTAAACACATGTGGCGTGTTGAATGTCTTTGCAGCTCTCTCTCTCTCTCTCTCTGTGTGTGTGTGTGTCTCTCTGTGTGTGTGTGTGTGTGTGTGTGTGTGTGTGTGTGTCCCAGGAAAACTCCACTAGGGAGGCTAATTAGCTTAGCATCCGCACTCATCTCAAACCATTACATTTCATAGTTTTCCCTCTATAACAAAACACAGATTTCACTCTAACCGTTTAACAGTAGACAAAAAGAGAAGGTGGAAAAAAAGAAAGAGAAGTAAGGTAATAAAGTAATTAATAAAACTGCAGCATCTATGGTTGGCGATTTCTCCATAATATATCTAATTAAAAATAAAAATCAGTTTCAAACACGGTACCTGCCCGTCATCTCTGACACCCCCAGCATCCCCTTCAGCACAGCTTATCCTGAGAGACGATTCAGATTTTATTCGACAACATAAGACGCCCCTCGGATCTGTTGCTTTTCCACTCTTTTCGTTCTCTCTGAAACAAAGATGTTTTTCTGAAAAACAGACTGTCCTCTCTGCTTGCTCTTCCAGGGAAGGTCACGTGCTGCTCGGCTGGACTTCTGATTGGTTACATGGATCAGCTCCACAGCTATGCCGAACCTTCAAACTTTATTTGGGCACTAGAATAGAATAGAATAGAATAGAATATTTTCTGTTTTAGGTAATGGTTAAATTAACAATTAAAATGTCATACGTCAAATAATAAATATCAGAAATATTAAGTGCTCAGAAATCAACTGTTTTATTTTCCGTATCATACACTCAGCCTCAGTTCTTTAAACTTTTGTAAAATGACTACACAACGTATATATGTAAAGCAAAGACCTCTTAGAAATGTACATACATTTAATGTATATTAATTAAAAATCTACATTAATGTATTTAAAAACATTTTTGTTTTTTTTTAATAATGAAAATAATTTCACTAAATAATGAGCCCTCTTGTGGTCGTTTTGAGTTAATACGCAACAGCAGTGAAAGCGGCGGAACAGAGTGGACAGGCTAGAGACCGCAATAGAAATGAGCTACACACTTCCTCTGACGTCAGCACTGTTTAACTCAGTCACTTCTATCGAATAGAGACGTATATGGCATTGATTCGCGACAGCGCAAAATCCACTCATTTAAAGTAAAAATCCTCAGCCTACGGGTCTGTAAACTTCTTCCGTCTCACTTGATTCAGGAAACAGTTTTATTTTGTCAAATACTCACAATATGCATTGTGAAAAGTTACGTTTTGAAACTATGTTGCAGTTTATATTACATATCCACCAAATGAGGACGCTGTTGCAAAAAAAATGAAGAAAAAATAACTTGCTGTGTGTGCAATGTGAGGAAATGCATCTGTGGTTGCCCTGCTAGGACACCTGTGTGAAATGTAGGTAAACTGAAACATCCAAGTAATTAAGATTGCAATATTTCTCTACGTGTATGCTATATGGTAACAATAAGCGAAAGTAGGCTATATAATATATCAATGAATTTTAGTATTGTTAATCATAGTATTTGTTGTTGTTGTTGTGTGTGTGTGTGTGTGTACATTTATAATAATAACAGCAACAACAACAGTGACTGTAATGTATAAAGCAATTCTTGTTATTATAAACGGAAATTTATATATAAGCTATGTCATTTACATATATACATTTATTATTGCTATTGTTATCATTATTATAATAAATGTGAATTTTCTTTTAATAGTTTTTTTTTCTTAAAATAATTTTGCTTATTAATTTTGCTTATTATACCCTATAATTTCCGCCCAGTATTTTGTACAAAGCCATTTAACTTCATTTTTGAAGGTGATATTTGCATTGTAAGCAGTCCAAAAAGAATTGCCATCATTTGCATTTTCAGCAACAGTCAGTCAAGATGATAAACAGAAACAGCAGTTGATAGGCTACTTCACACACACAGAGAGAGAGAGAGAGAGAGAGAGAGCTATAATTTTGTACACACAAAAAAGCTGTTACTGGATTTAGAATCTCTCATTTATACATTATCATTTTTTGGCCTCTGGGTTCTGCCCTTTGTCTGAATTCATCACCTCCCGGGTGTCGTTGCCATGGATACACATGGATGCGCAAAGGTCCATCTGAAGTTCTGGGTAAGAGAAATGCACGATTCCCTGATTAACATTCAGAGTTACGTAAAGAAGGTATAATCACCAGCGGGCCTGATCAAACATTGTGCTGTGATGTGAGATAAACAGATTCATAACGCTGTTCATCTTAAGGTCATCACTGCTTTAGAAGAGTGTTGAGAGAGACAATCATTCATCAAATGGAAATTACAGACCAAAGTTAGGTGATAACATCTTGGCTAGCGCATATTCATAAGCACATGCACGCAGTCACTTTTATGATTTCTTGGTATGTCAGTCCTTCTCAAGTTTGTATTTTGCCTTCTGAGATTTGAATGAAATAAGCAACTGTGTTCTGGCATGTGCATGATAAGCTCCCACAGATGGGTTTTACACTTCATATGGCAGTGAAAGGGATGCTTGTGATACAGAATATAGATATGAATCAAGATCTCTTCATGAGTGTTTTTGAAATCAACTCTGGGGGTGTACAATATATATTGACATAACAAAGAAACTTTGATGCGTTCATTAAAGAATTTTAAAATCAGTTATAAGAGCATCTAATGTATTACGTATTCATTTCATATCCAAAACATGCTCAATAATTATTATATACAAAATAAAAATAATTATTTGGCCCTGTAAATGTAAAATATGGTGTATTGTTTGTGTTAATATTCCATTATAGTGTAATTTGTTCATTTAGTTACATTTGTGTTTGCAGCATTTTTTTAACAAATATGAATCATACCAAAATGTTCAAATAAAAGTGAACCAAATGAACTAAGCATGATTCATCACATAATCTGTGATAATAATCACATAATCAAAGTGAATCACTGTCAGAGCAAATATTTACATCTACAGTACATAGTGTCTGAACATCCACAATGATGATAGATAGATAGATAGATAGATAGACAGACAGACAGACAGACAGATAGATAGATAGATAGATAGATAGGTAGATAGATAGATAGACAGGTAGGTAGATAGATAGATAGATAGATAGATAGATAGATCATGGATGAATAGATGGACGGACGGACGGATGGATGGACGGATGGGTAGATAGATAGATAGATAGATAGATAGATCATGGATGAATAGATGGACGGATGGATGGGTAGATAGATAGATAGATAGATAGATAGATAGATAGGTCATGGATGAATAGACGGACGGACGGATAGATGGATCATGGATGAATAGATGGACGGCCGGACGGATAGATAGATAGATAGATAGATCATGGATGAATAGATGGACGGATGGATGGGTAGATAGATAGATAGATAGATAGGTCATGGATGAATAGACGGACGGACGGATAGATGGATCATGGATGAATAGATGGACGGACGGACGGACGGATGGATGGATGGACGAATGGGTAGATAGATAGATAGATAGATAGGTCAGACGGACGGACGGATAGATGGATCATGGATGAACAGATGGATGGACGGACGGACGGACGGACGGATAGATAGATAGATAGATAGGTCATGGATGAATAGACGGACGGACGGATAGATGGATGGATGGATGGACGGACGGACAGATTTGTCAAAACTTTTCAGTGTAATGGTATTTCAGAGAGTGGTTCCCGTTGCCATGTGAACAACACAGCTCATAAACATGTGACATGAAGCATGAAAACACTGTGTGGTGTTTTTACATGTGGCTCTGTGCATCTGTGGATCTCAGACTGACTGAGTGAGTGAGTGAGTGAGTGAGTGAGTATGTGAGTGTGTTATTGGAAGTGCAAATGAAGGACAAACTATTCATAGATTACTCGGCATCTCTTTTCATGAAAGTAGATTTCTAAGAATCATTGAGACGCGAGCCATTCACCGTGCATTGATCTCCCATCCTGCCGGAACCCTCATGAGTATCACACACTTCTATTCACGTCTTTAGAGTTGTATTTTTACACCTCTCATGTGTAATGTGAAATGTCAAAAGTATGGAAATCCCCTTCAGATATTCACAGCATTCTGCATGGAAACATTTGCCCTTTTTATAAAATGAAATGGTGAAAAATGTTTCTTGTCTTAATGATAATCAATTCAAAACAGCATCACTGGATATTAATATTAATAATATACTTCTGAGGCATGCAGACCAGATAAAAAATTTAACTTTTTGTCGGCCCAACAAGAAAAAGCAACATCAATCTGACCTTTCCTTAATCTCTATGGTGGACACAGCTCTTCAGGTTCGAAAGAAAAGATTCACAAAGTTTCAAAAACACCCATCACTCGTTGTTATTCGGTGGTTAGAAAGTCTTTGTGATATTCCGGTCTCTAAATGATCCTCCAATACAATTCTGTGGGACTTTTTAAACCTGTTTTAGCATCCACCAGGTGAAAATCATATGATTGCTAACCAAACGATTTGAGGTAACCTTCAGTTTTGTGGTTTAATCACTGCAGGATGAGTAAGGTTAATACAGTTAAATACTCTCAGCCCCAAACTATGAGCATTAAAGCTTGACTTAGAAAGCACCACTAATGATGCATGGAATCTCAAAATCTTCTGTACGAATTCTAACAAGAAACGTTTGCGATCTGATAATATGTATGAGATTATCATAGTGTTAAACTCTTTAGAGCCCGGTCTGATATGCTTTAAATGCCGATCCATTATTTGACAATGAGATAGAGGAAGGGGTGGAGGGGGAGTTGAGTGTTGGCAGAGTGAGAGAAAGAGAGGGAGAGCGAGTGAGCGAGAGAGAGATAGCTAGTGCTGCCAGTGTTCGTACACCACACACAATCCCAGCTCTCTGTCTCTCTCCTCTCTGTCACTTTATCTTCAGCAAGGGCTGCCCACTAGGATAATATTCTCTATCTGTCTTTCATGCGCATTAATCAGTCGTTCTTTGGCTTTTTCTCTTCCTCATTATTTGACACTTTTTCTCCATCCTCCTTTCTGTCATCTTCCTCTTTCACCTCCCTGTCCTCCTCCTTTATCACTTGCTGCTCACATCATCTCACATGCTGGAGAACTCACAGGACGCTGGAAGACAGACAGGTAAGTCTGTGTGTGAGAGAGAAGTAAAAGATCCCGTGCATGTTTAGATGTTTGACATGTTTGATTGAAGATAATCTATAATCTGTTTTACTTTAAAAGTCTTTATATATCTCAGTTTAGTGCTCTTTTATAGCTTCAGTTATTGTTCTTTGAAGTATCAACTTTGTCTTAGATGTTTTAAAATGCTTTAGGAGACACAAATGAGACAGTTATTGTCATATATTGTTATATATTGTCATATATTGTTATTGTTATATATATACTGTAGTTCGAGTGTAAAGTTATGAAATGAATGTAGGATGCATAGCTCGGGTTGTTCTTGGTAGCTCATGTGGAGATCTCTGACTTTCTGCAAATCTGAAGTGTTTGTGACATTG